GCCCGCCAGGGCCGGGGAACGAAACCGGGGCCCCGGGGCCGGAGTCCTGGCCCCGGAGCCCTGGCTCCGTCCCCTGGCCCGGGCCCTAACATCGGAGGAGAGTGTTTACAACCATCTTCTGCACAAATAAGGCAATAGTGAAACCGTTTCTGGTTTGGTTTTCGTTTATTTATAGATTGACTGATACTAGCAGTAATTTTGTGCAGTAATTGTAGTGGTGTTGGTAATATTTGGTCAAAAATTTCTGCCTCCTGAATGATACTGACAAAAATCTGAATTCAGCAGTATGACTGTGCGCTTTTCTTCCAGAATAAGGAATTATAAGAATATCATTATAGCGAAATAGTAATGCCAACAAATTTCTCTGGTTTGAGAAGACTTCTGCGCTCTTAAGCTCATCTAGCACTGTCTTCCTTTGACCATAACTCTTGGTAGGTAACCAGCAAACAAAATGCTGGCAATAGTTTAAAAATAAATGGATTTGTAGAGATTATATTTTCCAGAATATATTAATCTGTGAAACTTATACTAGTTAATAATAAAACGAAGATTCAGGCTGGGTGTGGTCTCTCATCCCACATCAAAGATGTGGGACAAAGGCTAAGGAGAAATGAGTCCTTCACCTTCATTTTCCATGTCTCCTTGGGACTGCAGCTGTCTATACCATAGCTAGATGTTCAGAGGAGATCACTAGGTGGGGAGATCTCTGAGACCCGTGGTTTACCTATGCCTTCAGCATTTCAAAACTATTTGGGCTCCAGACATGTATCAGAGCTGCTTCTTGTATCTGCCAGTGATCGGCAGCAAGAGGCAATACCCACACTGCCATCTGGGCTCCTGGTTTGGAGAGGAGAGAGGGAACTGCAGGAAATGAAGCTGAAGCTCAGGTCTCTCTCTAGGTGAGGATGAGGGGCGAACCATCCTGTGATTCTGTGAAGGATGCTGGCTCCATTTTCTTATTCAGGATCTATTGTAATTATTATTAGCTAAAAAAGCTAGCATCTTCCTAAGCAAAAGCATAGACAGCAGAGCAAAAGCCAATGACTACCTTAAATGCCTTCTTTTTAGACCACATGGAGGCAAAATTTTAATGCCTCCATTAATGCCTGAAGGAAGCACATCCAAAGCGATGGGCCCAATGTAAGAGTTAAGTTGCCTGGCTGGTATATTTAGTACCCATGCTTCAGGTTGTGAGAAAATCTGGTAGAAAAGGCAGAATGCCTTGGACAGGGATCTCCCAGGACAGGACATGCCTGGGATTTGAGGCATTGCAGTAAGATGTCCCCTTGTAACTGTGGCTGTGCTAGCTCAGGAGGTTACCGCTTCCCTGTGCTCATCACTCCTCTGTTAGAGGCTACTAAGGGTTAGCTGAGCTGTTCATGGGCTGGCAGGAAAAAAATCTGCTATTTAAAGTGATTAACTGATTTTTCTTTTTCCCTGAAATGAAGTAGGAAGCCAGGCTGGTAGATCTGGGTAGGCATGACAGATCATGAGCAGCAGTTGGTAGCTGTAACCTCTTCAACAGTGCAAGTACAGCCAGAAGATGACACAGAACTGCACCTGAAGTAGTAAATAGCCTGTGGAATGCCTCGTGTGTTTTTGTGTCAGCTAGGACTATACCACAGCTGTATAGCCAGCTTCAGGTGTGCCCTATCCATGCTGTGACAGAACATTAAAAGGAAGAATTACAGAAGCCTCAGTTCAGATGCTACGCAACCACCTTGCGTTACTCACTGAGGGAGAGGCAACATGGCCTTCAGCCTCAGCATGTGAGAGGCTGGCAGAGATGGGCTCCCAAGTCTTTTCAGTTTTCCTGTATGACTTCAGCAAAACATGTCCTTGTGCCTCAATTTCTCAATCTGTAAAAGGGAGCAGTTTTTAATCACCAAATAAGGCTGCTGTGAAGTTAAATTAATTACTGCAGGTAAAGAGGGTTATGTCCTTTGAAGGCAGGTGTTAAACAACAGCAAAGATTTATTACTAAAGGAACACGATGGGTCCATTTGAACTCTGCTCGGGAGACCGCAGTATTTATCGATTAGTAGCTTTTGGCAGGGGGAGGAATTGCGCAGATGACCTCAGGGAAGTAAACTACAGGAAGGTGTGTGTGAAGGTGTTCATGCTCTTTCTAATGTTATTGTAAATCTTGATCCTTTAATAAAGCTGTGACCTTGGAGCTGACAACTAGTAAGCCACGGAGTAATATATAGCATGGCACCAGCCTTGTAAATCTTACATAGTTTTTGCCATTGACATAGACAACATGTAAAGAGAAATCAGGCAGCTGAAGTTTATGAAACACATTTATTTGAAGGAAAGCATTTTAAATCAGACTTTTTTAGATGAAATGAAACCAATGGCCCTGCCAACTTTTTATTCCTCGTGATAAAATGTGTTTGTGAAATGAAATCTCAACCGTGAAAACTTGTAGAACTGCTCATAAAATTCTGCCATTTTGCAGGGGGCAACTGCCACCGAACAGGTACGTTTTAGATCACCTTTGCATGGCTATTGTACAACTACTTTTTGTACACCTGTTATTTTGGTTGCTTTCTTGACAATGCTGCTGCTGCAAGAACAGCACATCTCCTTGCCAATATGAAAAGGGCAGGGATTTGTTTGTGGGAGTGAAGATGGATGTGAGCAGAAGGGGAAAGAGAGAAAGCTGTGTAACTGCAAGGGGATCAGAAGGTGCTATGTGCCAGGGGAAGGACATCCTTTGCTCTTGCCAGGTGTATCTGTATCACTACCAACAAAGAACACTTGCAGCCACAGATGAAACTAAGGACGACAGTCCTACGGTGGTAGCTTATTTCATACATATAAAAAGTTCTGTATACGTTTTTCAGATGTGCAGGAAGCCATAAATCCAATAACTTTTTCCTGATATTTTTGGCTACTTTGCTCTGGCAGACCAGATTTTTTTTTGTTAGTCAAATGTCCCCACAAATGCCATCTATGGGAGCAGCACCGTCCGTCTTTCTGACTCGAGTTTTCATTCCTAAAGCCAGTTCTCAAAGAGAAAGGAAAGCAACTTTCCCAGGCACATGAAACATTGAATCTTTCTCTTTCCACAAAGGATCCACTTTCTGATCCCAAGAAAAACTAGTAAGACCTAAAGTCTATTGGGAGTTTCCTTGTTAACATGTTAGTGTGTGATTAAAGCTACTTTAATCACTGTACATGCTTCTATGCATGAACATGAATTTTAATTTCTTACAGATCAACTGCATCTTTGAAAGATACTATGTTATACTGTACATGTAAAAAACTGTACATATGTTTTTTAACTTAGTAAGAATACATTTTAGTTAAAAGATCCTGCCACTCTCTTGACCAGGTTTCTATATTTTTATTATAAACATAATATTCACTACTTGCTATCCTTTCAAGATAGCTTTCACTTACCAACTTTACTAATTTTGAGTCTCATCTTGCACTGTAAATGGAAACTGACGTAGTCTTGCAGGGTCAGTAATATTGTCCTTGACAGTAGGTAGCATGCTTGATACTGTTTGTTTGTT